ACGGTGGCCCGCATTTGAATTCGTGACGGGCCGCATGCGGCCCGCGGGCCGCGTTGAGAACCACTGATGTAGAACATAGGCGCGCATTATGCAAATGTGTTACCCAGTGACGTGTAGCCGTCACTGAAGTGGGATTCGAATTACTAACGACTCGTTTCAGCTGTTCAGAGTCGATTCTTTATTTTGAGAGACAATAACTTTATTTATCATGCACCTTCAGCTTTACAACTTTGCAGATCGTTTACATTCACATACAGCTATATTACACACTGCATGAAAGGCAATATTGGAAATGGCATAACAGGGGCACTTTAAATTGTAATATTTCATAATATTACAGTTTTTACTGTATTATTAGTCACCGTGACACACACACATATATTATGTAATACATATATTACATACTGGTATTGGTATATTAAAAATATAAACAATAACAGTGTCTCTGATATATATATATATATATATATATAATTAATTAATATATATATAGAGTACAATTAAATTATACCAGATTAGTGATACGAGGGACATCCCAGCATGCCTTGCTCTAAACCTAGACAAAATGTGGACATTATTAGTAATATTTGGTAAGAAAAGCATGAAAGGCAATATTGGAAATGGCATAATAGGGGCACTTTAAGACCAATTCAGCTCAGGTAACCCACCAACTAGAGCATAGACAATGCTCAAAACATCTCTTGTGTTCCACAGAAGAAAGTTAAGCAAGAACGAAATGAGGGCAAATAAATGATGACAGATTATTTTATTCATGGATGAACTTTCCCTTTAAGAATATAGTCATATTAAACTATGATTTATTTAAACATCCAGTGGTGTCTTCGACTCCACAGCACAATCGATTGGGTTCATTTTTGGATGCATCTTCTCAGTGTTAATAATTGATTGTGTTGTAACATTTGAAATCACACACTGCTGTGTTCCCCGTGTTTCAGCAACGCTCACACTGTCTATTTATGAGTGTGTTCTGTTTGCTTTTCTCCTTCCACACATGACTCGTGTATCCTGCAGAGCCCAATCTAAAAAAGCCGTCAGAATCGCCCGGTGCCGTCCTCTGCTTCCTCATTTGGGTTTGTTGTGACTTGTTTTGGATGTGTTTGCCCCATCTCTCCGGGAGATGGACTCTGTCCAGCTGGAGTTCTGCAGCGCACTGTCCCTGTGGCAATCAGACCAAACACACACACACACACACACACACACATCTCACTCAGCGAGCCCCTTGTGCTCTTCCATGTGGGGAATGATAGTGAACATCTGGGATCTGGTTGAAATCAGAACAACTTATTCAAGTCTGGTATCACCAAATCATGAGTTCATTTAGATTTGCATAAGCGTTTTTGGCAGGCTGCATAATTTCTTTCTCAATGGGAGGAAAAAAAGCACAAATAGTCAAATTAACAGCAGAGAACTAATGATGAGAGGAGAATGTTATGTCCTCAGTGAGATGTAGAGATGTGTGTCTCACAGCCTTTTTCATGTTTTCACACAGGTGACCTGCAACTGTTTCAGCATCAGTGATGGAGAGCTGCAGGACGTGGGGGTGGGACTTTACCCCAGGTGAGTGACATGATCCAGCGACATCCCAGCATGCTTTGCACTGAACATAGATTCGTTGTGAACATTGTTAGAGCTAGTTGCTAAGAAAAGTGTCACTGGTAATATAGTTCATACTTACAAACAAAATAACAAAATCATCATACAATTATTAATTAAGTGAAATGATTAATTATTACATAAAATTAAGATGATTCAAAATGATTACATAAAATAAAAAATTTAATTGTTGTTCAAATTAATGAAAATTCTATATTAAATTGAATGCTTTTTAATTAATAAAAATATTTAAATTAGTACATAAAATTACAAATAATGTAAAAACGTTCTTACATATATTAAAAAATTCAATTATACTTAAAATGAATTTAAATGATATATTAAAATAAACTTAATTCATTTTAATTCATATAAAATTACACTAAAATTATTACATGAAATAAAAAGTGATTATACTTAAATGAATTAAAATGATTGCATAAATGTGTATATATATATATATATATATATATATAATATAATACTTACATATCGTATATAAGATAGATAGATAGATAGATAGATGAATTGTTACATAAAAAATTAATAAAGGTAAAAATTGAATAAAAAGGAATTAAAATGACTGGATAAAATTATTGATGTATACACAATGCCTATTCATTATTTTAGGCATCATTTTAACCACAAATAAGCATTTCCCCTCAAATGTTAGTGTGCTTGTTTATTAAGGAGACAACTGCAGTAAAAAGCATGCTTGAGATGAAATATTAAACGGGCTCTTCAGAAAATGTAATTTAATTTTACATTTGCAGTTTGCAGCACAGTGCATTCATTGTCTTTGTTTTTCCTCATTTTAAAAATGACTTTACCCACAATACTCGTGTTTCAGTCAGTTGAGGCACTGTTCTTGTTTTCGCGCTCGCCATGCCCAGCAGATTTGTGTGACAGAAAACATGTTTGTATTATTAGCTCTGCAGTCATAAAGAGGCATTCTGACATGAGTTAGGATTACATGCTACGATTTGCTCTCTGCTACTGAACACGCCTGAGGGAAGCTCCCATTCACACACTGAGGAGCCGAAGGAAACGCAGCACAAGAAACGAGAATAATTACACATAAACAGACATTCGGTTTTCAGTGTGACTAAATTACAACTTGCCGAGACACATTGTGACTCGTGAGCGCTGAAATAGAGGGGATTTCCTCTGCAAATTGCTTTGTAAGAATCTTCTGAAATGCAGAAGAACCACGCCAATGCTGGAAAAAACACTTTTTAAAGCTTTCAGATGGAGAATGACTTGCATGCAATGCATGCAAAATTCTCTCAAATAATCGATGCAGCATATATTTTAGCCTTCTGTAGGGTTATTTGATGGGTCTGTCTTACATAAAAAATGACAGGAACTGTATGTGTGCTTTTTTTTGGTCCTCTCTGTTTTCTTGTAGAGGGTGATTGCAATTAAAATGTGACAGGCCAGTGTCAGTGCAGCATCCCGGCACGCTCTGCCTTCTCTCTTTGAGCCGAGACCCAGAGATGAACTGCTCTTAAATTACACTTTTATCAGCGCTGATGTCTTTCATAATTAATCTTCATGCCAACAGTTGCCATTTTTTTCACCTAGAGATGAGCTCTAGATGGGGTCATGATGGTACGGTGGAATTTCCCGTTACTAAAGGCCTATTAAAATACAACCCAGTGGTGTTTCTTCAAGACGACATGGAATGACATTCACAAAGCATTGTGCTTCTGTGATGTGGCATAATTCAGATGAAGTAGAAAATGTAGAGCATGGCATATATATATATATATATATATA